TGCATCCCGGTTGCTATGGCTGCTCAGTGCTCCTCTTCCACTTGTCTGCCCCTCTGTCACTGCCTTGGAGCCAGTTAGCCATGAACTGAGACCTCCTGAACCCTAAGCTAAAATAACCCATCCTCCTTTAAATTGTGCCTGTCATGGTTTTGATTTTTGGTTTTGTCCCCAACCTTGGGAAGTGACCAATACAAACTGTGGCAGTCACCCCTCGTGAAAAGTTAGTCTTCTCAGGTTTTCCTTCAGGTTTTTAAAACAGTGCATCATGCCCTAAATACTAACAACCTTGAACAGGTCCAGCTTCCCTAGCGCCCTCCCCATAATAACGCCAGCCGTGTGAGCTCGTGCTGTTAGAACTTCAGTACCAAAAAGCACAGGGCATGAGTGTTACATCAGGACAGACGGGGCAGGAGCCTCTCAGCTTAGGGCTGCCTACGGCGACGGCTACAGCTGTGCCGAGGATGGAGACCAAGTGCTAATGGCCACATGCCTCTGATAACAAGCCTCCCCCAGAAAGGCTCCCCTCCTCCTGGACAGAGACGCTAAGTCCTCAGATAAGCCTTTTTAGACTTAAAGAAGGTCTGCTTCTTCCTTCATATGATGGCTTTTTCTTGTTTTGGCAAAAGGGGAACTTGGGAGAAACAAACTCTTGTCAATAAATCTGCAATTATGGGCAAATGCTTTACAAAACTTACATATGCATAGCCGTTAATCCACCTGCTGTGGCCACTTACATTAGTGCTCCAAGTACTGGCCATCTTTCTTTACAAGGTCCCTTCTTTAAGGCAGGACTGTTTGTTCCCAGTCTGTTTAAACCAACGGTGACCGTGGAGCTTCCTTTGGTCATTGAAATGTCAGAAGAAAAGGAATGTCCTCCTTGGGCGAAAGCCTGTGGAAGCGTCACACTCTTTACCATGATCTGTCTCACTAAGCCCTAAAACTGGTGATGCTATGGGCGGGGACAACGCCAGCATTGTTCCATTATAGGCAACGAGGGGAGAGCTACAGCTGGACAGTGAGGGAGGGAAGCTGTGAGGCAGAACCTCTCCATAGAAGCAACTGCCTTGCTGAGGCCCTCGGTTACTGGCAGCCTCATGGAGGCTATCCAGAACAGGAGGCAAGTCCTGTCCAGTGACAGCTGAGAACACAGTAAATAGTGAAACTTTAGTGCAGTATTCCCTGGGCTCTGCTAAAGGTGTCCACTGCCAACAGCACCATGTAATGCTGTGGTTAGGTCTGTAAGACCAAAGAAGATAGACGACAGACTAGGGGCAGAAGAGGTAGAGAGATAGATAGAAGCATGCATACATGAAACAATTTTCACATGCATATAGTATGTATTAAAAAGAACAAACCATTTTCCCCAGAGAGCTAATATCCAAATATTCCTCTTTGCTTTCACCACAGCAACCATTAAAGAACAGTAGCCATGGCCCTCCGCTCTCCCATGGCCGTGGGCCTCAACAGGACCATGACGTGACTAAGAACGTGAGCAAACTGAGGCACAGTCGCTTCGCGGACACCTCACCAAACACACCAAGTTCATGCGGGACATGATCCCGGAGGTGTGCTGCCTTGACCCCTCTATAAGCGGCATGCCATGGAGCTTCTCAAGGTCTGCAAGGACAAATGCACCCTCAGGTTCATCAAGAAAAGGGTGGGGACGCACATCTGTGCCAAGAGGAAGTGTGAGGAGCAGAGCAGCGTGCTGGCCGCCATGTGGAAGGCAGCTGCCAAGAAGGACTGAGCCCCTCTGGAATAAAGCTTTGCACAAAGTTCAAGAGAAAAAAAATACTCCACTGTACAGAGGTGTTAGTAAAGATGTTGGATGCGTAGTAGGCATAAAAATCAGCACAGACCTCTCACTGCTCCGTCATCCGACCACAGCAAACAAGTGAAGGTGGAAGCGTTTTAATCTTCCACTTAAAAAGCAATAGTAAGACACTATGGATAACTCTACTGGGAGAAGTCATGACGAAATAATAAAATATTATTGGAAAACACTGAAGAAGACCTAAAATAAATGGAAATCTATACCCCAAAAATAATCTGTTAAATCATTAAATTACACTCAAACTCACAGGATAGTTTTCTGAAGTTAGCAAAACCCTTTTCAAATGTATAAGAATGAGAAAAGACCCAAGAATAATAAATACAATATTGAAGAAAAATAGTACAACTTAAGATAAATAAATACAATCCTGAGGAAAAATACAGTATGGAGAACCACCCTGCTGCTATCTTGGCTAACCTCAAAGCAACAGCACTGGGGAAAGTACAGGCAAGCACCTTGAGGAGCAGGAGCCGGCTGACTGGGGGGAAGACGACAGGGAGGAAGCCTGAAGCCAGGCACGTGGGAGGACCTGGAAGGCCGCGTGGCAGCGAGACAGCAGCAGGGAGAGCGCGTCCCCAGGGCTTCAGGACAGGACAGCCAACTGGTGAGGAAAACACTAGAAACAGACTCTTAAAATGTAAAACTAGAAGAGAAAGGGAGCAAAAAGAGTTGAGATGTGTCGCATCAGTGTGACAACTCTCCACAGTGAATATAACCCTTAAGGACTGCAAACACGCTCTAGGAAGACATGAAACTAAAAACTAGGGTACAACAGAAGGCATTGTGAGAAAAAGGGAGAGAAGGAGGGAAGGGGAAAGAGAAAAGAGAAAGAATGGATATTTAACCTACAAATAACCAGCAGTAAAGTAGAGGCCAAGACATATAACTACATGTAATTAATTAAAACAAAGGCAACTCAAAAATGTAGCATTAATTTCCAGGAAGAGAAATCAGAATGACCAATCAACACATAAAGCATAATAAATCATTGGTTCATTAAATACAGAGATAAGAAGAGAAACGTGCAGTCCTCAGATCAGCACAAGGTTACGCGCCTGGCACTGGGGGCCGTCGGCCATCGCGCCGCGCCACAGCCCTCCTCCGACCTCCAGCTGGGAAGGACGCGTGCTCCCTGCACAGCCACTCCTAAGATGCACCCCGGAGATAAATTCTCCCCTGGGGGCCATGAGGCAGGAGCGAAAAGAAAGGGCAGTGAGCTTCTTGTGCCTAAAAAGAGAAGATTAATAGCTGCCTCAAGGGTTGTTCAAGAAGTAAATGAATTCTGCCATGTAAATCTCGGAGAGCAGACCCCGACAAAGTGCAAGTGTGTAAATAGTGCTAGCAGCTGTTCGTAAATTCATTTTTTAGGGCTCCCTTGATGGTATGTCGACTTCCAGTAACCTCTGTGCTGTGTTCAAGGCTTGAGATCGTTTCTTTTGCAAGCTTTCTTTTCTCCACAACTGTTGACCTCATTTGCTAGCTGGATCCCTAAGACCCAGACCAGACGGCTCGCCATGAAATACAAGGGCCGCTGGGCCTGCTGGGAGCTGGGTGGGGCTGTTCCTCCTCTCAGGCCATGTTTATGCTAAACCTTTTGCTCAGGGGTAGGTGGGCAACTGGCCCATCTTACAGTGTCCGTGAGGTCTGCCAAAATTCTTTAAATGATTGCGATCTGAGACATTTCAATCTCAATCTCACCCCTTAACAAGATATTTAATTGTAAGGCTCTACTCTAAATAAATGTAAAAGGGAAGAGGAAAACATAGAGGGGGGAGGGAACAGAAATTGAAAGAAAAGAAAGACAACCCAAATATTTTTCAAAGGAGAAAAGATTATAACTAGCAAGCAATGTAGAGAACTTCGGGCAGCTCCCCCCGGAATGTGGGCCTCAGCAAGCAGCCTCGCAGCTAGAGCTCTTGTGCAGTCTCCACTGTTTCTTCAGGTAACAACTTACAGAACCTCAAGATCATGCCTCTGAAACGCTTAAGCCACAAAAATTAATATTAAGGATGAATGGACATTAACGTAATGATGTTCCACATTTTCCAGCTCATGTGCTGACCACCTAAATGGCCATCTATGGTGGACACAGCTCTCTCCCCTGAACTCTCTAGGTCTCTGCCCCACAGTGTCGCAGGTTTTCGTCCCAGGGGCCATTCAGTGCCAGAGACATTCAGAGAGACCAGAAGCTTAGGACGCTAGCAGACAGCTTTCAGTAGCTAGCTCCTCTGCTGAGCACATGCGGTTGGGCTCCCCTGCACCCCAGCGCTTACCTACGTCAGGTTACGCTGCGGGAGGAAAGTAGCTCAGCGGGAGCATGGAGAGTACGTGTTCTCCTTTTTACTAAACAATACATTATTTCATAAATATTTTTTAAACATTGCAATGTGCTGGGTAAACATTAACTTACTGAGTTACAAATCATCACTAGATTTCTGCTTTACTCTGTATTTAGTTACGCATTCCCTAGTCTTGCAACCCAGATTTGCTTCTATTCTTTCTCTTAGTCTTTTCTTGCTTGGCCAACACACACACACACACACCATACACACACACACACACACACACAATGCACACTATGTGCAGTAAAGACAGGAGCATGGGGGTACGAGGTCAGCCTAGCTAGAGGTGTGTGGGTTTCCCTGCTTCAACTAAGACTCTCGGACTCTAGGATTAGAGGTCCATGTTTCTAACAAGTAATTCATAGAAATAAGCTTCTTTTCCAATAAACATGCCTTGGGGGATTTTTTTTTTTTTTCATTTAACCGTATTGTTTTAAACACCTAAAATTACATAAGATTTTTTTTCCTCAACTCTGAGTTCAGGTCAAGTGTAGGAGCCTTCAGAGTTGCAAAGGTCAGTAGTAAAACCTTTTCATCATTGCTCAGAAATGATTAGCCTTATACACAGACAGACACACAGACAGACACACAGACAGACACACAGACACATACACAGACACACACAGACAGACAGACACAGACATACACACAGACAAACAGACACACAGACACATAACACAGACACACACAGACACACACAGACACACACACAGACACACACACGCGCACACACAAACAGACACACACACACACATTTCCAATCTCATTCACCTATCAAAATGTTCTGTTTCTCAGTTACCTTTAGGAACACGCACGTGTGGATGCAGGCAGGCACACATGCGTGCACACACACACACACACACACACACCCGTGTACTCAGAGGACACAGCCCTTTCTGTTTTAAATTATTTTAAAAATCTGCTTTTCAGAACTATAGCGATCATGCATCAGGGAGACGGGAAGGTCCTCTGATGTCAGATTTGGCTATTTTCATTACAAAAGCTTGTAGAAAAATAATGTTTTTTCCGTTGTTTAGAAATTCCTTATTTAAAATCTTTACAGCAATTCTGAGCACAAAGTAATATTAAAAGTTGTGCAATAAGATAATTGTTGATTTAATTATATTATGTCTTCAAAAGGACATGAAAATATTATGAAAACTGCAGTTCATTTTCTATTATAAATGCATGACATTTAAGAAATGACAGTAACTCCAGGATCTAGACCCTTAATCAGATTATCTCTATTCTTTGCCAACTCTTTAATTTTTTATTTCTTTTCTTTGTGGAGACAAATTTCCTGTTTGTTTTCTTGCCTTGTTCTTTTTTTACATATCAACAAAGAATGAGAACAATATATTTTTGTTCTTGTTGAAATGGTGGTTCAGCAATTCTTTTTAAAGTTGTTTTCCTTCCAACTTATTGAGGTGACCAGTAATCCTCCTAGCTATTTATTGGAAAGCCTGCTGCAAGTTCCTCTTCCTCTGTCTAGCTCCATCCAGTGCTTCCATCGTCCCTGTGCATTGGCCGGTCATGCCTTCTTTGCACCCACCAGCCATGTCTCCTCTCATGCAACTCTAAGCCTTTTAACTTTATGCAGTTGTAAAAGCTAAACAGCCCTCCATTCCTCAGAAGTCTGCGGCTCCTAGACTTTTGAATTATCCCCAAATTCCTACTTTGAGCATTATACAAAGACAGTAAAATGGGTCCTGATTGGCTTGTTAATACTAACGAAGGCGCTCAGTGAGCTTCTCCCAGATGAAGCCCTTTGCTCAGCAACTTTTACGCATGTTTTTGTCCTGTTCTCAAGGATTCTGAGGTAGGACTTTTACTGATCAGGAAACTGAGATCTGGTCAGTGTAGAAAGTAGGACCGGGCCAGCAAGATAGCTCAGCAGACTAAAGCACCTGCTTAGGCAAACTTAGGCAACTAAGAGACCTTGATTCAATCCCCAGCACCACATGCCATGCTGCCCCCCCCCCCGCCCCCGGGTGTGCTGAGCTAGCCAGAGTCTGGGCATAGTGGCACACACCTGTAATGCCAGCACTGGGGAGGCTAAAAGCAGGAGGATCATCACAAGTCTGAGCTGTGTAGTGAGACCCTGCAACAACCAAATACATTTTGAAAAAAAGAAAGTAGGACCTCACATGTGATCATGAAGCTGGTAACTGAGAAATCAGCACGTGCTCCACCCGAGCCCCAAGGCCATGTTCTTCCTTCAACGTTTCATGAAGCAGTGCCTAAGAAATGTCTGCATCAGAACTAGCTGGGGTGTGGGGCAAGAATACAGGGCACCAGTTTCTTCCCAGGCTGCCTAAATTTGTGTCCATGAAGAAAGGCCCACAAATACAGTTTTAATGAGCCTGTCAAAGGATGGTTTGTTCCACTAAAGTTTGAGGACTACAGAACCACAAGGCCCACATTTCCTGATTTCCCCATTTCTCAGTTACTAAGCATTGTGTGTGGCTGATTGATAATACATGTATATGAAAAAAAGTTTAATGAACTGAAATTAACTAAGGCTGGCATAAAACAAATGATTTGCTGTTAGTGAAGTGCCTCTGACTCTTTAGAAAAAGGACCTACAAAAACACCAGGATATTTCAGTATTTGACTTCGAAGCTGGGCTCCTAGCACTGACCTAGCGCCAACGTGGTGAGAGCCACCCTCCTTCAGCACGCACCATAGTAAGCCCACTGCACAGTGGCTCTCGTCACTGGGAGAGTTGCTAGGATACTGAGATCAGAATGCTACAAGACTGTCTATTATAAGTAATATAAGCCTCAGGATGTATTTAATAATCAAATTCAGAAGCTGGCTACAAGGTCAACAAAAATCAGTTACATTCTTGTTCGTAAATAACAAATTCACTGAGAGGAAAACACACATGTCACAAAGCATTGATAAAAAGTGAAACACTTAGGAATCAATCTACCAAAAGAAGTACAAGATTTCTACACTGAAAATTATAGTACTCTGGAAGAGGAGATCAAAGAGAGTATCAGAAAATGGAATGATATCCCTTACTCTTGGGTAGGAAAACCCAACATAGTGAAAACGGTCATACTCCCAAATTTTTTATACAGATTTAATGCAATCCTGGATCAAAATACCAATAGTATATCTCACAGAAATAAAACAATTTTAAAATTTATTTGGAACACAGAGACCTAGAATAACAAAAGCAACTCTGGGCAACAAAGGCAAGGCAAAAGGCATTGCACTCCATGACTTGAAATTATACTAAAAGCTACTGTGATAAAAAGCAGCATGGCACTGTCCCCCAAAAAGCAGATCTGATGATCAGTACAGATCAGAAGATGCAGAAACCACTCCACACACAGCCACCTTGGCTTCAGCATAGGAGCAAATGCCTTCACCGGAAGAAAGAGGGCCTATTTGCTACCTGGTGCTGGGCAAACTGGCCTTCCACATGCCAAAGACTAAAACTAAACCCAAGCACAAAACTAAAATAGAAATAGATCAAAGATCTAAACATTAAAACAGAAACATTGAGTCTGCTAGAAGAGAACAGGTGGAACTCTCGAAGAAATAGGTGTAGGCAAATACTTCATGAACAAAACTTCTATCACCCAGGAAATATTACAAAGAATTAACGACTGGGATCCATCCCTCAGGCATTTGTTTTGTTTTATTCTGTTTTATTCTGTTTTTGTACAAAGAATCAAACTCAGGACCTTATGCTTGCCAGGCAGGCACTGTGCTACTGAGCTATCTCCCCAGTCCCACATAGGAAATATTACAAAATTCAACAAGTGGCATCTCATCTTACTAAAAAGCTTCTTTAAAAATATAATTTGATTAACTAATTAATTAATTAATAGCTTTTGACAGCAGAAGAAATCTTGAATAGACAACCCACAGAGTGGGAAAAAACTGTTACTGGCTGCTCCTCAGACAAAGAGCTATCTAGAATATATAAAGAATTCCAAAAGAAACTAGACCCTTACACACAAACTTAAAGACCCAATCCAAAAATGGGCATTTGAGATGAACAGAAATTTGTCAAATGAAGAAGCAGAAATAAGAAATAAATACATGAGGTGTCTGGGAGATGGCTCAGTAGAATAAGTGCTTCCCTGGCAAGCACAAAGGTCTGAGTTCAATCCCCGGTTCCACCAAAAAAAAAAAAAAAAAAAAAAAAAAGAAAAGAAAAGAAATACATGAAAAAATGTTCAACATCTTTAGTCACTCAAGAGATGCAAATTTAAACAATGTTGAGATTCCACCTCACTCCAGAAAAAAAGACTATTATCCAAAAATCAACCAGTAACAAATGTTGAAGGCCATGTAGAGAAAAAATGGACCCCTTCTCCACTGTGAGTGGGAGAGTAGCCAGTCTGGTGCGACCACTGTGGAAATCAATGTGGAGATTCCTCAAAAACTAAAACTAGAGGCTGCATATTCTCTTTTTTGGTATCTTCCTAAAATAATTAAAAACATTATACTGCAGTGGTATGAGCACTCCCATGTTAACAGCAGCACAGTTTATAAGAGCGAAAACTTGGAAACAGCCCAAATGCCCATCAATTGATGGGTGGATAAAGAAGATACAGGCTTTTTAATACAAAGGAGTATTATCATGCCATAAGGAAAGATAAACATCAGGCATTTCTAGGTAAGGTGCATCTTCAGACCCTACTCTTGGATGAAATAAAGTGGACACATGTGTAAATAGCACCTTGCTCCTCTGCTGTGAGAAACCAACAGTGCAAATAAGGACCCGAATATATAATAGACACTGTGAATTAGGAAGAAAATGTCCAAATGAGGAAGGGATTGAGGAAAGGGGCAGAGGGAAAGGAAAAAAGACAAGAAAAGCAAGGAGAAATGGAAACAAAACTTTTGTAAATAACAAATGGGAAGGGTGGGTGAGATAGCTCAGCAGACAAAGTGCCTGCTTAGGCAAGCGCAGGGACCGGGGTTTGATCCCTGGCACCACATGCTGCACCAGTCCCTCCCCCGGGCTCACTGAGCCAGATACCAAGACCAGGTATGGTGGCACATGCCTGTAATTCCAGTGCTGGGGAGGTTAAGAATTCAGAAGATGTGTGTGTGTGTGTATGTGTGTGTCTGTGTGTGTGTGTGTGTGTGTGTACACACATTTTTTCTAATTAAGGTAATATAAGTCCAAGCCACATAGTAAGATCCTGTACCAAATACATTAAAAAAAAATGGAAGAGAGGTTGAAGGCAGGATAAGGGAATAGAGAGAAAAGAAGAATCAAGATATGTCATTTACAGGTATAAATTCCCTGTGAGGAACGTGATCATTATGGATATCTAACATGTTCAAATAAACTTAATTAAATTTTAAAAATCTCTCATTCATGATGTCCTGTTCTAGTTAACAAAAATGTTTGCCTAAAACTAACTTCAGCATCCTGGGGACGTGCCGCCCACCCCATCTGCAATCTCAAAATACGATTTTTAAGAGGGCTCACTATGAATCATTACCCAAAGCAGCCATCTGCTAGAGACGCAATTCATCATGTGCACAAGCAACATCACAGAGAACCAACAACAGTCTACAGTAGTGGGAGCACTAGTGGTCATAAAAGGTAAAACTAAGACCAAAAAGTCCTTGTCACTAGAGGACAGGAGGACGTCCACTCTGCGGCTTCTATGGGCTCTGCAGCTGTTTCTCTTTAACCTTCTGCCAGATAGGAAATAGGGAGCACTCAGCCGATCTAAAGGTAGTGATGAAATTCCTTCTAGACTGTTAGGCATGCTAGACAAGTCAAATTAAATTAGCCTTAAAAATTCCAGTTCAGGTTCTTGTTCAGTATCTTGCCTGATAGGTTTTATGAAGGTTAAGAATTCAGGAGATGTGTGTGTGTGTGTGTGTGTGTGTGTGTGTGTGTGTACATATACACATTTTTTTTCTAATTAAGGACCAATATATAAGAGAGTTAAGAGAAAGAAAAGGGGCCCCATATGCACGACAGTGACCTTTAAAAGGGTGCAATCAGGGAATAAACTG